CATCACCTACAGCCAGCATCAGAGAAGTCTGCGCCCCTGCCGTTTCAGAGAGGCGCGGCCGACTAGGCCCGCCAGCGGCTAGCCAGCGGGACCAGAACCACGGCGGGAGAGTGCACGCACACCTGACCCTGGGCCACATCCAGAGTGAGTGCGCCTGGAGCCCAGGCGCGCTCCCCACATCGCTTGCAGCCAGACTCACGCCCGGATTAGCCAGGTGTGGCGGAGACCCCAGGGTGCCCGCACACACCACGCTGCCGGGGGTCAAGCGACCCGCCCCATAGGTCTGGAGCTGGGTTCCCTCCCATCTCCAATTTGTTTGTCAAAAGGAGAGTTTCATTAGATGCACTGCATTGGGAAGATTTGACAAAATACTCCTGCATTTGCTCAGATAGATTTTGAAACTGCCAACAAACATTTTGGTGGGAAAAAAAAATCTAGTGTTAGAAAGCAGACTGTCTTATCTTAGAAATGAGAACTTCTGAATTTCAGCCAAGAAAACTCCCCATTTACTTTGTCTAATTATAGACCATGATAGCTAATGTGTAGAACCCTTAGGTTGGGTATTTGATATTTTTAGCCCAAGATCTTTGAGTTGTTTGTTTTCCCTTCCTCCCCATCCTGTTTTCTTTTTCCTTCTTTTATTCTTTCCTTTCTTAATTGTTTTACGTACTGTTACTGAGTTTTCTGATGTTCTTTGTCTTACCCTGTTTGGCTGTCACTTAAATTCCTTTAGACAAGGCCAATGAGATGGCTCAGTAGGTAAAGGCACGTCCCAAAATGCAAACCTCTTGTAAGCTTGGCGACCCATGTAAGGGTGGAAGGCGAGAAGTGACTCCAGAGAGTTATCTTTTGACCACCACACGAGTGCTATGGCCTGTGTCTCCCCCTTACACACATCATACACACACAGCATGCACATATTCACAATAAGAATAAATTTCCTTTAGACATTTTTGTATTGAATCAGTCTCCCATGAAACAACATCAGAGAATTCATGGTTACCTTTGAAAATATTGGGTTTGCCTGGCATGGTGGCACATGTCTGTAATCCCAGCCTTTAGGAGGTCAAGACAGAAGGTCCTAAATTTGAGGCTAACCTGAGTTAAATAGTGAGACCCTGTCTCAATAAAACCAAAAAAGAAAATGATCAGGTTTTTCTAGGACCAGTGTGCTATTTGGTTGCTTTGAATGATGTAAAGAGGTCAGCATATCATTCAGGTTTGGTGAGACCATAGAAAACAAAAGATTATCTGATCTCATCTAAGAAATGAAAAGGCATTTTTTTTGCACTCAGGAAAATTAAGTAGATTTATACCCAAGAGGAGGGGACAGTTGACTCATCACTGTTCCCATCAGTTCCTTGACTGTTTAGACTTGTGTTTAAAATTCTGTCTCCTGTTTTTGAATTTTTCCATAATTATATCTTTAGTATGCTCTTTATCTTAATCTTGGGTTAGATCTTTGTTTTTTTCTGCCCACTTAATTTTCCAGCCCCCTATGGAGCTGACAAAAATGCATAAAACATGTATCAGTTCTTAGAATCACTTTGTTGTATATCCAGCAACAATGTTAAGGACTTTTTCTGAGATTTTAAATTTGCAGTGATGTAGATTTTATTAATTTCATCTGTCATTATTGTATGGTAGGAATTTCTAAATGGGTTTTGAACTTTTTTCCCTCATATCATTTTGGATTTCATAATGAAAAGTAAAAAAAATTAAATAGGGAAGGTATGGGAGAGGGAGGGCTCAGTGGGTAAAGTACTTGCTTGCAAGTGAGGACCTGAATTTGGATTCTCAGCTCCCAAGGTAAAAAACTGGGTTCAGGAGACAGAAAAGATGGCTCAGTGGTTAAGAGCACTTGCTGCTCCTATAGAGAACCTGGGTTTGATTCCTAGCACTCACATGACAGCTCACAACCATCTTTATATAACTACAGTTGATGCCCCCTTCTGGTCTCTGGGGGCACCAGGTACACAAGTGGTATACTACATACATGCCAGCAAACTCAGACAGTAAAAAACAAAACAAAACAAAACTGGATGTGGTAAAAGTCTATAATCTCAGTGCTGAGGAGGATAGACTAGGCTAGCCAGTATAGCTAGTCAGTGAGCATCAGGGTCTTTGAGAGACCCTGTCTCAAAAAATAACAGAAGAATAAAGGAAAATATCCAAAGTTGACCTATGGTCCCCACCTGTGCATACATAGGCATATGCCTCTCCAAACACGTGTGCATACACAGAAAATAGTCAATCAGAATGCCTACAAATAAGGTGGAATGCAACCAATCATTGGAAACAGGTACATTAATATGGAGACATAGCTGAGAGTCACTGTACCTAAGAGGGATGCTACTCATAAATATCCTGTGTGTTACAGTAATGTGAAAGAAAATGAAACTGTGAACCAGTGACCTAGAGATGATGCTCTCAACAAGCCTTCCTGGTCCCTGGGGTCCAAATGGAGCTAAAGCTTTTCACTTTGCACCTCCTAAATCCAAAATCTCTCTAAAGTGTCAAAGCACAATCAAAACAGACTAGTTTCTGGTGGAGTAATAGGAGTTAAACTAAAAGAACTAGGGAAAAAAGGAAAAAGAGGACAATTTCCAGAATCATTATCTTCCTCCTTTCTAGCAAATACTTTCTTGTTCCAGGGACACTGGATAGAGTGAATTACAAAGAATAGTTTGTCCTGTATACTCATTGGTCCACAATACTGGTATTTCTAGACTGAGGGCCTGTAGAAATGGGGTATCTCATTGTGTGAGAATGAGGTCGTGATGCAAAGTATGAATCTGCTATGAAGAAGAAATTGAGACTGTTGGTATCAGGGTTTGTTATGGTTTTGAGTTTTTTGGGGACAGTCGTCTCACCCTTTAACCTAGGTTTGATACCATTTCAAGTAGGGTCCTACAGTTTGACTACCTTGGAATGGCAAAGAGCTGGGTTGACTGTTGAGTATAAATCATATTTCTGTGTTCTTTGCTGCTCAGTACCCATGCTGTTCAGTACTTAGGGTATGAAGAGTAAACTGTAGATACCTGGTTGTTTACAGACCTTACACTCCAATTGTATGCAAAGTTCATCTATTTTTTTCATCAGGTATTTAACTCCCCAGTGTGTCAGGACTTGATTCATGTACTAGGGATATAATATGCACTTAAAACCAACAAAAGTCTTGGCCTTTGCATTTCAGCAGAGGGAGACAAGTAGAATGGCAAAAATGTGAGGTGGTGGTGAAGCTGGAGATGGGGCTAGAGGTGGGATTGGGCAGTTGAATTTTTTAAAAATGTATTTTTATTTTATATGTGTTTTCCCTGCATGTGTTTAAGTGTACCTTGTGAATGCCTGAGAAGGCCAGAAGAGACCATCGGATCCCCTGGAACTGGAGTTTTGGGCAGTTGTTAGCTACCATGTGGATTCTGGGAACAGAACCTGAGTCCTCTGCAAGAGCAGCCAGTGCTCTTAACCGCTGAGCCATCTCTTCAGTGTTGACCCATCACTCCATCCCTGGGATTTTGCAGTTTTAAATAGGAGAGATCAAGGGAAGCCTAGGTAGAAGGTGATATTTGAGTAGTCACCTGAGGGAGAAGAAAGAAGGACTTACTGTTTCAGTTCAGGGCAAGCATGGAAAGGGCCCAGCTTGATTCAGGACCATACATGATGTGCTTGGGTATAGGGGGATGGCAAGTGCTGATAGAGTAGAATCACAAGTGAGGCTGGAAAGACATTGGGTCCATGGCTCATTGTGAGGATTTTTAGCTTCTTTTCAAAGTTAGATTTTATTTAGTGTGTGTATATGAGTGTGCACATGCACGTGTGCATGTGGTTACACAAGTACAGTCACGTGCTTGTGCAGGTGGAGACTGGAGGTTGATGTCTAGTGTCTTTTTCTATTGTTCTCTGCCTTATTTTCCAAAATTATTATGTATGCATGTGTATCTGTGTGTGTGTGTGTGTGTGTGTGTGTGCGCGCGCGCGCGTGCACGCGCGCGTGCAAATGTGTGTGTTGGGGGGGGTGTGTGCACATGTGTGCTCACAGAGGCCAGAAGAGGGTATCAGATCACCTGGAGCTAGAGTTATGGGCAGTTGTGATACACCTGACTGGGAACTGAACTCAGGTCCCCTGGAAGAACAGGGAACACTTTGAACTGCTGAGCCATTTCTCCAGCCCCTCTACCTTATTTTTGGAGAGAGGATCTCTCATTGAACCTGATTAGACTGACTGGCCAGCGAGCCTCTGGGATCCTTCTGTCTCACCCACACCCCCTGCATTGAAGATATGTGTCATCATGCCCGGGTTTTACTTGGGTGTTGGGGATCTAGACTCAGGCCCTCATGCTTGCACAGAAAGCATTTTACCCACCAAGTCATCTCACCATTCCCTAAAAGTAGTTTTATCACCATGTTGTTGGATTTTTTTTAAGTTAATTTTTTAATTCAATTTTTGCAAATTTCATGCAGTGTATTTTGATCATATTTTGATGGCAGGGAGAGTAAACAAAATTTACATGTCTTCTGTTATCTTTCTCGTGTCTTTAAGAAGATTACTTAGTCCTAGTTAGAATATCAGAATTATTAAGATTGCTGGGAGTAAGGTGAAGGGTGATGTTAGTAATCTCCATACCACTGTGCTGGGAGCAGAGTGGGGCTAAGAGACATAGGAGAGCTTTCTAATTGTAGAGTTGACAGCTGGACTGGAGAAGGACACAAAGCTGTCAGTAAGCAATATTGACATTTGCATACCATTGATATATGCTGGAATAATAAAATGTTAACATATGGAACATGCTAATTATCTAATTGCATGTTAGAAAAAAATACAAAAAAAGACATGGAAAAGGAAGAGAGATAAATATTGGTTAAAATTTTGGATGTGGGAGAATAGTGGTTATATTTCTGTTAAACTTTTGTTCTTCAGACTAGTTTTTTAAAAATATTTATTATTTTTATTTTATGTGTATGCGGGTATTGCCTGCATGTAGGTAAATGCACCCATGTCGTGCCATGCCTGCGGAAGACAGAAGAGGCTGTCGGATCCCTGGAACTGGAGTTACAGACAGTTGTTAGCTACCATGTGGGTGCTGGGATTTGAACCCAGGTCTTCTGCAAGAACAATCAGTGTTCTTAACCGCTGAGCCATCTCTCCAGCCCCAGACTAGTATTTTAAGTTGAGCTGTTAATATCACTCTCATGTTTCTAGTATATTATGATGCTTGCTGAACCAAGCATTGTGGTGTATGTTGCAATTCCAGCACACTGGAGGAATTAAGAGTTTTAGACCAGTGAGGGCTACATCATGAGACCTTGCTTGGAAAAAAATTAAATAAATAAATAAATAAATAAAATAAAAATAAATTCAAACATATCTGAGTATTGGTGCCATGTATTTTTCTACTAATGTGATTATTTTAGCCATGGGATAAATAAATAGCTTTGCTAGCACTGAAAGACTTCATTCATAACTGGTCTTGACTTGTATAGTCTGTATGATTAATACAGATGTGTGGTGAAGGAATTCTTGGCAGAATTGAGACTAGAATCTAGGTCTCAGGGTTTAGCTCAGTAATCTTAGACTCAAGTTAAACTCTTTGATAATGGGAACAAAAATATGGCAGTGACTCTTTTTGGTGAACATACGTGGGAAACATCCCCATGCTTTCACTCTAATTCCTCAGAGTTTCTGTTATAGGACTGGCTGGACAATGGCCCAAAACAAGCTATTCAACAAGATCCTCAAAGCCCTACAGTCTGACCGGCTTGCCCGCTTGGCCAATGAAGGGGTAAGATACCAGAAATCTCTCCACTCTGATTAGTTCAGGCCTCACTGGCTGACTGGTTGTTCTCCTCATTTGCTGACAAAGTAGAACTCTTGTTTTGTTCTTTCCACCTACTTTTTTCAGGCTTGCAATGAGCCCGTGCTGCGCCGTGTTGCTGTGGACAAGTGTGCGAGGAGGGTGCGACAGGCTCTGGCCAGTGTAAGCTGGGACACCAAACTGATCCAGTGGTTACATACCACCCTAGTGGAGACCTTGAGTCTGCCCATGCTGGCTGCCTACCTGGATGCTTTGCAGACACTGAAAGGGAAGGTAAGATTGGGGTTGCTTTGTCCTAGTAAAAGCCAGTCTCTGCTGTGGATTCAGGATGTGGAGTTAGGCAAGGCCATTGTGGCCGGGTCAGCATTGTGCCCAGGTTTGCTATTAAAAATAGGACACAGGGTATCATTTTAGGTTTGTGTTTGGTATAAATTTCTTCAGTCTCACTATCTTTTGAATGAGGTGTGATACTTGAAAACTATAATACACATTTAACCTCTAAGCCTTGGGGCTCATGGTTGAGCCATCAGTGAAGTGAATTGTCATGGAGGAGATGAGAGCTTTACCAAGAGGAATTGTTGATAAGGAGAATGTGAGAAGCAGAGGGTCAGGAGTTTAGACAGCAAGGAGGTTCCTGATACCTAGGTTCCTCATAAAGAGATGAACCATCAGTAGCAACACTCAGAATATAATAGTTCATTACAAACATGTCATTGCGTGTCCTTCCTTTCTTAACAAAAAAGACTAAAGGGGGCTGGAGAGGTGGCTCAGCGGTTAAGAACACTGGCTGTTCTTGCAGAAGACTCGGGTTTGAATCCCAGCACCCACGTGGCAATAACAACCGTCCATAACTCCAGTTCCAGGGGATCTGACAGCCTCTTCTGACCTCCATGGGCATTACACGACATGGGTGCACTTACCTACATGCAGGCAATACATGCATACACATAACTAAAAATAATAATAAAAAAAAAGCTTAAATATTTAAAAAAAAAAGAGTCTACGAGGGTCTGATTAAGCCTTTCACATTCTTGGTTTTTGCTGTTATTTTACAGCAGAATCTCTCTTACTAGGTAACCCTGACTGGCCTGGAACTTGCTACATAGACTAGACCAGTCTTAAACTTCCTGTAGTCTTCCCTCTGCTTCCCACATGCTGGGATGATAGGAATGGGCTGTCACACTGAGCCAAGCCTTTTGCTGGTGTCTCTTCCTTCATCTTCTGTTGGAATCCTGCATATTCTAATTCTCTCACTTATGTGTTGCTGCTTCAGATGAGAATTGCCCATTAAGGACCTTGCTCCATCGGATGGTTTTTTGCTTGTTTGCCTTTCTTACCCCTTGTAGATTAAATTCCTCTGTCAGACTAGCTTGATGCCTTATAACAGCAACTGTTACATAAACATTTATTTCCTGAGTTAACTCAGTCTAGAGAATATAGTTGCCAAAATCTCATGCAGAAATCGTTTTAGCGCCTCTTCTTTAAAGACAGGGTGTCCCTTTGCTGTCGTTGAACTGGAAACCCTCCTGCCTCAGCTTCCTGGGTTCTGGACCCATATTTCAAATCTTATTAGACTTATTTATCTGAAACATATTTTTATAGAAGACAAGATAGAGGATTTCAAGTAACATACTGCAGCGCGCTGTTTAGTGTGCTAGAGTTCAAACCTAGGGCCTTGTAAATGCTAGGCAAGGGCTCTGCCACTGAGCTACACCCCAGTCCCTCCTAGTCGTTCTCCTCAGCAGCTTATCTCCCTCTAGTGCTGCCTTTTGAGTTGATAGCCTACTTCAAACCACATTCTCCAAGCTCTGCAAACTACCTCTAACATTTGAAAATCTTTCTTTTCCCTGAGATTGTTTTGACTTTTCTGTGGGTAGTGTGGAATTCACAAAGATTTCTTTGCAGTGTAAGCATCAGCATGTCTGAAACCTATGTTTATGCATTGATGAGGTCACATTTTTGGTGGCTAGTTAAAAGCAGGATATGATATAAGTCACAATATAGTAGCATATATTTTGGGGGAACAATAACAGGTTTCATCATTCATGCCTCAACTTGAAGATTGTGCTCTAGAATAAAGTGCAATTTTTAAAAGAATTATTTATTTATTTAAAGTTAGAATCTCACGATGCAGCCTTGGCTGACCTGGAACTTACTATGTAGACCAGGGTGGCCTCAAACTCAAGATATCTGTCAGTTTTTACCTCCTGAGTGCTGAGACTAAAGGTGTGTACCATCACACCTTTTTTTTTTTTTAATAGGTCTCATGTTGCCCAGGCTGACTACAAACTCCTTTAGCTAAGGTGACTTTGAATTTTTTATCCTCTTGTATCTACTGAGTTCTGGGATTATAAGTATGGGCTACCATGCCCAGTTTATATATATTAGGAATCAAACCCAAGTTCATGCTTACTAGGTAAGCACTTTACCAACTGAGGCACACCTCTACTCTTTGCTTTTTTTGAGACAAAACCTCATTCTGTACCCCAGGCTGGCTTTGAACATATGGTAATATGCCTGCCTTAGCCACCCAAATGCTGGGATCACAGGCATGAGCCACCATGATTTCTGTGTTTTCTGTTTTCTTAGTGAAAGTTACTAGAAGTATAGTCACTTGGAAAAGGGATAGTAGAATAAATTTAAGTTCCCTGGGACATCTTGCCTGATTAGTTTCCAGAGGGTTGAATCCACTTTGCTTTCACAGTGAGAGCACCCTTTTGGGCCATCCACTGATTTGTGCCTTTGAGTCCAAGGAAGATTTGAGAGGTTCAACAGAATTCTGTCCTGCTATTAGAGGGACGGTTTCTCACTTCACATTGGAAGCTTCTTTGTTCTTCTTTCTAGATCCCAACTTTGATTGACCGGATGCTTGTGTCGTCCAACACCAAGACTGGGGCTGCAGGAGCAGAGGCCTTGTCTCTCCTCCTCAAGAGGCCCTGGGACCCTGCTGTGGGGGTGCTTTCTCATAACAAACCAGTAAGTTGAATGTTTAGGCCTAACTGTGGCACACAAAATGTTTAGACTGAGGCTTAGAACCTTGGCAAGGAGATGGTAAATAACCTAAGTTTTTTTCATTAACAGCTTGGAAGTTTTTTAAGATTTACTTATTGTTTGTTTGTTTGTTTATTTGTTTGTTTATTTATTTATTTATTTGGTCTTTTTGAAGACAGGGTCTCCCTGTAGCCCCAGCTGTCCCGGAACTCACAGAGATCTGCCTGCCTCTGCCTCTCGAGTGCTGGGATTAAAGATGTGTGCCACCATGCCTGGCTTCTTATTGTTATTTTTAAATTGTGTGTGCATGTGTCAGTGTATGGGTATGTGAGCATAAACTCAGATGTCCGTGGAGGCCAGAAGAGCGCATCAGATTCCTTAAGAGCTGGAGTTACAGGCAGTTGTAAACTGCCCATACATAGGTGCTGGGAACTAAGCTCAAGTCCTCTGGAAGAGCAGTATGCCCTCTTAACTACTGAGCCATTTTCCAGCCCCAAGAGCTTATTTTTCATAGTGCTTAACATAGTGTCATAGCAAAGGATCATTGATGTGAGAACTGTGTTGGGATGTAGCTGTTAAGAGTTTGTGGATGAACACCTCTCACTCACTGGTACTTGGATGGGATTCTGTCTCCCCAGAGCAAACTCCCTGGCTCTCCTTTGATTCTTATCGCCTCTTCTGGTCCCTCAAGCTCTGTGTTCCCTGCCTCACGCCGCCACCGATTCTGGCAGTCTCAGCTTTCCTGCTTAGGCAAGGTAATTGTGGGGGCAAGCAGAACTCTTCTAGGTACAAATGTCATCATGGAGGATTGAAGAGAAGAGTGTGTGGTAGGGAGTCAAGTTCATTGAACTCAAATGTAATTCAGCCTCTAACTCTTATTTGGCATTTTAATGGTGCTTATCTAAGGTTAAAGGATTCCAGGGTAAGTTAAGCAGAACTGAGAGATTTGAAACATACCACAACTGGCATGGTTGCCCTTTCTTTCCTTTAGGTCATCCCTGTAGCAACTCATCTGCTGAACAATGGGAGTGGGGTAGGCGTTCTGCAGTGTCTCGAGCATATGATTGGGGCCGTGAGAAGCAAAGTGCTGGAGGTGAGAATGCTGGGCATGCTAGGATTGTTCTGTGCCCATGTGTAGTCTCCTATCTTACTGTGTTCTTTCTCTGTCACAAAGATTCACAGTCATTTTCCACATAAACCCATTATCTTGATTGGATGGAACACAGGAGCTTTGGTGGCCTGTCATGTAAGTAATTTCTACCTTATTTGGAGGTCGCTGAAATATTGAAAGTTGTCTTAGAATGCTATGACTATTTCTACTGTTCCTACTG